TCGCAGAAGATTGTGCGTGCTGTGTTTTAAAGTAAACAATGTTAGTGATATTCTTCTTCTTCTTCTTCTTTTTTTGGCGCTGTAACCGCCTAAGCGATTTTGGCCGAGTTCAGCAAAGCACGCCAGTCGTTTCTCCTCTGTGCCAACTGACGCCAATTGGAAACGCCAAGTGAAGCCAAGTCCTTCTCCACCTGATCTTTCCATCGCTTATCTTCGTGAGTTAATGCGTTTTTCGGCATTTCGCAAATACTATATGATATATTAATTCACAATAAATATTAATTAAACAATAAATTCCCGATTATTTTGATTTTTCTTTCATAGCATACTATTAACATATGTACATTTCGCGTTTCGTAGCTTACTGAGTTTCAGTTAAGAACTTATTCACTAAATAATTGCTTTACAAATACATAGTAGAATGTAGCATCATTGTTTCGCTCGGGCAATGCATTATTGGTTGGGATATCTTATGTAGTACCATTTTTTTAAATTGTTCAGAAGAAACGAAAAATCGATGCAGTTTCGCATTATCTGTCATTCTGCATCAAAAACCAAATTTTGAGAAAAAGTGGACTTGTCACCTTTTCGCCTTAAGGTAGCGATATGATACATATACATTTGTACATACTTATATACTTACCTCTGTATGTATTTTTATGATAGTTTTTTTGCATGATAACTTTTTTATCCATAAATAACGCAATTTTTAAGAAAGATCCAAATTACTCAAAAAGGGCTCGATGGATGATTTTAATTGTGGTTCGGAATATCTTCTATTTTGTCCTAGAATACCATTTTGAAAGAATTTCGTGGTTGTTTTGAATTTTGATAATAATTTGTTGAAGCTCACCGTGTATATTGACCTAGTTTAGTTTTGGTTTATTGGAATAAAAGTCAGATAGAAAAATAACATTTTTTATTACAATAAATGTTCAAATTGTTTACCATCAGCCTCAATACACGCCCTACATCTTCTTAAAAAAGATCTACTTATTAGCCGGGCATATCCTCGAGAGTGGATGTCCTCAGCAGCTTGAGAAATTCGTTCACGCAGCTCGGCTACGCTCTCAATAGGCTTTGAATAAACTTTTTCTTTGAGAACGCCCCAATAAAAAAATCCAGGGGATTTAAATCTGGGGAACGGGCTGGCTACGAAATAGTGCCTGAACGTCCAATCCACCTTCCCGGATATTCCTGGTCAAGGAAATCTTTTACTTGCACTGCGTAATAATAGTTTAAAAAATAGTCTTAATTCTAGAAAACATGGGGCAATTGTGTCATTATTTTTGACTTAGGTTCTAGAAATGTTATTTAGGGTTAAGGTTCCAAAGTTTAAATGAACAAAAATAATCAAAATTAACCACAATAACCGAAAAATGGTTACAGTTTGACCAAATTTCTAGGTTTTTCTTAAACGCCCATAATTTCCAAACTGCATGGGATAGATTTTTTTCTGATTTTTCTCATGATGGTTACAATCAATCCTGTCACCCCGTTTCGGCTTGACGTTGAGTTCTGGGACACCCTGTATACTTATTGGAATTTATACAATGTTGTACTACAAATGATGACTGTATAAACAATTTTCATTCAACAGGATTACGTTTTTTAAAATCATTTACAACCTTCTACAAAATTCAGCCGACGACGATATACTCATGGAGTGGAAAAGGAATATTATTCAGATTTCTTTTAACGGAATAGATGAGAGTGATCACACATTATCGTCACATATGTGGAAATGCATTTTGCTCATACAATCAAAATATGAGGATTGGTAAGTTAAATCAGTTTAAACCTCATTCAATTAAAAAATACATAAGTGGATCATTAAATTAAAAGCTATGCTCGTATACATTGACTGTTCAATATTAGTCTGTTTAGGCTTTGCCAAAGTGGGTGCCGCTAGTGGCTAGAGTATACTAGTGGTGCGGGCAAATCTGTAAACTTTCCATACACAACGCAAGCGGTTTGATCAAACTTCAACATGGCGATCAGAAAATCAAAAATTTTTATTTTTATTAAAATTACCTTCAGCGGCTCGTCAAACCCCATATACAAAACAAATGGCTTGCCGAAAAGGGATATTTCACTTGGTTCGTCAAGCCGCTGGTGTGGTGTATTTCGCTCTTAACCGTAGTTCCCCAGTACATTTTGTCAATGAAAAATTTAATCAAAAAATTTTCAGAAAAATAGCCGAAAACGTTCCCTTTCTAACCATTTTAGGCACTTTTGTAGACCTAATCCGCGTTTCATCCACTTTTCTTCTCGTTTTTGGATTCATTTTCAGATTTTTTGCTGGCTGGGCTGTTCTCGTAACAAGCGCAGCAGCTCTGCGTACGTGTTTATGTTACTTATTCATTGGAACTTCACAATCACACTGTGAAAGACCGAATCAACACGATTTTAAAGGCAGTCGAGAACGAACTTATTAAGAGTTTGAAAACTTGTGAATTTTTTAGTTTGCAACGTGACGAAAGTACCGACGTAGCGGGACTTAATGTTCTTCTCGTGTTAGTGAGATACCCATTCAATGCAAATCGAGGAAGAACTTTTGATGAGTACTTGACACTTACACCACTAGCGACGAAATTTTTAAAGCTATCGACAAATTTGTACAGAAAAATGGTTTGAAATGAAGCAGGTGTGCGGATATTTGCAGTGGTTTGAAAAACGAAAGGAGCGATGTCTAAGATGAAGCAAGAGGCAGAAAACTCCACGAGAAGTCACTGTATGATCCGGTATTCCCTGGCGATTAGGAAGATGACGCCACTAGATTTAAACCCCGTACTGGATGACACTGCGAATATAACAGAGGCCTACGGAATTAAAATGCATCTTTGGTTTTTTCTAGCACGTCGAATTTTTGTTATTGGTACATGTTTATTTTAGAATTTCTAGCAATTTGCATGAAAACCCCATAAATACACAAAGTAAATCAGAAAAGCGTATTTAACTTCGAATTTAACGCTAAGAAAATTGATATCAGCCGGTTTCACCAGCAATTTAAATGGAAAATGATTTTTTATTTTCTGTCAATTTCCATATAAAATTTCCAAAATTAAAATCATTTTTCACTTAAATTGATTTCGTGAAATTGGCTGTAAAAGTTATTTTATACTTCGTTTTGCCCTCGTTCACCACCAGACCCATTCGCTTTGCCTCTCTATCCAATCCCGAGAAGGCAGAACAGACGTAGCCCTTGTTTTTACCGTTAATATCGATGTCGTCGGCATACGCCAGCAGTTGTACGCTCTTGTAAAGCATTGTGCCTGAGCGGTTCAGTTTTGCGGCTCTTATTATCTTCTCCGACATCAGATTAACGAAATCACACGACAGGGAGTCCCCTTGTCTGAAACCTCAAACGGCTCGGAGAGGTCCTTGCCTATTCTGACGGAGCTGGTGATATTGCTCAACGTCATTTTACACAGCCGTATTAGTTTCGCGGGGATACCAAATTCAGACATCGCGGCATAAAGGCAACTTCTCTTCGTGCTGTCGAAAGCGGCTTTGAAATCGACAAATAGATGGTGTGTGTCGATCCTATTCTCGCGGGTCTTTTCCAAGATTTGGCGTATTGTGAATACCTGATCTATGGTGGATTTTCCAGGCCTAAAGCCACACTGATAAGGTCCAATCAGCTCGTTGACGGTGGGCTTCAGTCTTTCGCACAATACGCTCGATAAGACCTTGTAACCTATGCTTAGAAGGCTGATCCCGCGGTAGTTGGCGCGAATGGTGGGGTCGCCTTTCTTGTGGATTGGGCAGAGCACACTTAAATTCCAGTCGTCGGACATGCGTTCGTCTGACCATATTCTCCATACGAGCTGATCAGCTCCTCCCCGCCGTACTTGAATAGCTCGGCTGGCAGGCCGTCAGCTCCAGCAGCTTTGTTGTTTTTCAGCCGCGTAATCGCTATTCGTACCTTGTCATAGTCAGGCGGTGGGATAGCTACACCATCATCAACGACTGGGGTCTCGGGTTCGTCTTCTTCACTACTTTCAGCGCTGCACCATTCAGTAGGTTGTAAAAGTGTTCCCTCCAAATTTAAGTATATTCTGGACATCCGTCATTAGGTCGCCATTGTTGTTCTTACAGGAGTTCGCCCCGGTCTTGAAACCTTCCGTAAGTCGCCTAACCCTCTGGTAGAATTTTTGGGCGTTCTTCCTGTCGGCCAGCATCTCAAGCTCTTCACACTCACGTATTTCGGCCTCTCTCTTCTTATTGGGGCAAATACGTCTCGCTTCCTTCTTCAGTTCCCTATAACGGTCCCACATGGCTCGCGTTGCGCCCGATCGCAGCGTGGCCCTATAGGCGGCGTCTTTTTTCTCTGCGGCTACTTGACATTCCTCATCGTACCAGTTGTTCCTTCGGGCTCGCTGAAATCCAACTACTTCTTCGGCGGCGGTACTTTATGATCGGGAAATGTGGTTCCACTGCTCGGGTATGTCGGGTTGTTGAAGAGTTCTCTCAGTTCCATAATTTCTCGAGGAAAAAGGGATTCAACAGGATGTGAAGTATCAGATGTCAAAATTCCACGAACACACACTCGAATTAATGACAATTATTTTCTTGTGAGTTTTCCTGAGAGCTGCATACTGGCCTTTACTTGTAAAGGGCAAATAAAAAGCCCTTATTCCTGATAATATGAAGGTTGTTAGCGTTCCATATTTAAATTGGGCGTCACTTGTATCGAATCACGTCGAGCGCACGTTTAGTACATTGAAGGCTTTTCTTCGCGAAAATCGAATGAAAATGCTGCCTGAAAACTTTAGATTGCATCTTGTGGTTCAACTAAACTATAAAGATTACAGTTTTGTCAGTTAAGAGCTCGAAAGGAGAAAATAGTCAACGATTGAAAGTAGAAATATTTCATATAATGACTAGTTCGTAGTTTTTCTCTTTTTACTTGTAAAATAAACATTTCTAAAATAAATACATTTTTTTATTATTTTTCGGTTTTGGTCTTTTTTTAGTGCCTTTTTGCTATTTCTAGTGCCTATTTAGCTCTTTTATTTTGCCTTTTCTAGCCTATTTCGTTTTTTGATTTTACCTTTTTTATAGGTCTTTAGGTCCTAAAAATCCGTTCCCTGCTCATTATCTAACAAAAACCATAAAGTCCAAATTTCAAACTTTGTAGTAAAATTAGATAAATTCAAAAAAATTTTAGAACAACAACCAACAAAGTTATTGAGCTAATATCACTTTGAAAACATTATGGTTTCTCAATTTTTAGAGTTCTAACTGTCAAATCTTCTGGCATACACAAGCTACAAAAACGGTTGGATACTGCTTTGTGGATTTTCACAAGCTTTAACCAAAAAGTATGGTGACTCATCGCGAAAACTAGCAGAAAACATGGGTGTCCGCGGTTTTTGCAAATTTTAAAGATCAAGCAACTTACTTTTGCACTTAAATCAAATGAATATTATTTGCGATGTATAATAGTAATAAACAGTGAACGGATTTTTAGGACCTAAAAACCTATAAAAAGGCAAAATAAAATAATGAAATAGGCTGGAAAAGGCAAAATAAAATAGCGAAAAAGGCAGGAAAAGGCACTAGGTATTGCAAAAAAGGCAAAACATAAAAGCGAAAAAGGCAGAAAAAGGCACTAGGTATTGCAAAAAAAGCAAAATATGGCACAAAAAAAGACAGAAAATACGAAGAACAATCAAAAAATACATTTATTTTAGAAATTTTTATATTACAAGTAAAAAGAGAAAAACTATGAACTAGTTTCATTATATGAAAAATGTTTACTTTGAATCTTTGACTACTTTATCCTTTCGAGTTTCTAACTCATAAAACTTTAATCTGTATAGTTGTAGTAACATTGAACCACAAGATGCATTTTTAAGTTTTCGGGCAGCATTTTCATTCGATTTTCGCGAAGCAAATCCTTGAATGTACTAAATGTATGCTCGACGTAAGTTGATACAAGTGGAGCCCAATTTAAATATGGAACGTTTGAAACGTTCATATTATCATCAATAAGGGCGTTTTCCTCGCCCTTTACAATTTTATCCACACCTCTTATTGTCTCCAAGCCTTCGTTTGCTGAGAAAACGGCTTTGAACTTTTCCAACACCAATTTGGCAAGAGGTCCCTGCGCTTCTATAAGCCGCATGAGCATGTGTACATTTTTTAATCTTAAAAAAAAAAAGAAAAAGTAAATGCTATAATCACTTTTTTAAAGGTAGAAAAGGCAAAAAAGGCAAATATCTTAAAAAGGGCAACACCAAATGTGTATATATGGAATCAGGGAAAGCTAAATCGTGGATATTCTTAATCGAATATACTCTATCTCTTTAGCAGAAAAAAAGGCAATTTCCATAAAATCCGTTCCCTGTTAATAAACATTAAATAAACAAAAGAAAAATAGCCAAAACTGGTCAAAATGTCGTATCCTTATTGTTAATAGTTACAAAACGACTATGTATCGTGATTGGACGATATTGTTTGTTGAAGCAAATCATTGTTGAGCGAAAATAAACAATGCTTTGGACGATAAAAGTTTTCAACTACTTTTGTGAACTTGTATACTTGAATCAGCTAATCGTTTATTATTGTAAAAAAAGTTTTAGTTTGGCACAAATAACTCAATTTACTCAATGGTTGTTGTGTTTATAATAGTGTTTACTTTCTCATTTTATTTGCCTATATTAAGCATAAAAAATACATACATATTTACATAAATAGTTACAACACTGATGGAAATAATAGTAAAATGAAATAAAAGCGTAGTTGAATGAAATGAAAAACGTGCTCAAAAGT